CTCAACTCAGTGTATTGACAACTAGCTGAGCGACTGCAACGAGTATCCTAAAGCTGAGGAGAAAAGAAAGGAAGAAGAAAAAGAAGAAAGTTCGAGAACAGAACACGAGCTTTTAAAGGGAGCTCCGGAGCCGATGTGGATCCCCGGTCGAGAGCGGAGCCGAGACCCACACGGGCCCAGCCCGTTACAGAAGACGATCAGCACAATGGTGTCCAAGACTAGATTGTACAACTGGTAAGTTCTACGGGAGATAAATAGGAGTGGAAGTGGCTCACAGGAATCCTCCAGGTACATATCGCTGGTTGCAGCGATGGCCATGGTGCTATATGGGTATGATGCGTCGGTCTTCAACTCGGTCCAGGGCTCTGACAACTGGCTCAATTGGTTTGGCCTCGACATTGTTCGTATTTGAGTCGCTGAAAGAGAACCATCCTAACGACCGGTAACAGAAAAACGACGCGTACCTTATCGGCCTGGTCAATACGGCGTACACGATTGGAGCCATCGTTGCCGGATTCTTCATCGGCGGCCCTACCGTGCGACACTTCGTCTTTAGAGCCAAGTCGAGTGATACTAACAATCTTCTAGGCAGATTTTCTGGGCCGAAGATGGGGCATCGGCATAGGCTGTTTTGTCACCATCGTTGCCACATTCATGCAGACGTTCGCGCCTTATCGTGCACTCGGGTGCTTCATTGCTGGTCGAGTGCTAGTTGGGCTGGGACAAGGTATCGCGTTGAGTATGCTTCCCCCAGACTTGTTCTGCGTCATGATGGCTTAGCAATTACAGCCGCTGGACCGGTGTACATCGGCGAAATGGCACCATCACACATCCGTGGCTACATCATGGCTTTCTGGCAGCTTTTCTACTCCGTGGGCTCCTTCATCGCATACTGGATCAACTATGCCTGTGCTAAGCGCCGCCAAAGTCTCGGTGAATGGGATTGGAAGATGGTTGTCATCTTCCAGATGCTCGTCCCGACTCTCATCATAGTGCTCCTTCCGTGGCAACCCGAGACACCGCGCTGGCACATTCAGCGCCATGGTGATGTGGATGCCGCCAAGGCATCATTGAGAAAAGTTCGCGACACTGAAGAGGAGGTGGAAGCAGAGGTTATCACCATTCGAGAGGCAATTGAGTATGAGAAGGAAATCTCAGGTGTCGGCTACAAGGCTCTCTTCAAGGAGCCATCAATTCGCAAACGACTCTTGCTCGCATTTATTCTCGTGAGTACACCAGAGAATCAACTATGGAAAGAAATGGAACCAGCGCTTACTTTGTATGTTGCAGAATATTGGTCAGCAACTCACCGGTCAGGGCACCCTCAACTCCTATAGCACCGCCATCTACAAGAAAGTGTGGCCATCCACAGATACGATCAACCTCATCAATGCGCTGAATGCGACCTTCGGTATCATATTCACTCTGAATGCTGTATGGACTGCAGACCGGTTTGGTCGCCGATGGCTGCTTCTCCTCGGCGCGGGTGGCATGGCACTGTCCATGCTCATTGTCTCCCTAGTTGGGCTGCTAACACCCACGGGAGCGGACGGAACCAAGAGCCAGCCCGCAGGTATCGCCATCGTGTTTGGCCTCTTCCTATTCATCTTCTTTTATAAGCCTTCCTGGGGTGCGACTACCTGGATCTGGACCTCTGAGGTCTTCTCGATGAACGTTCGAGCGCAGGCCGTGGGCATGTGCTCGCAGATGCAGAACGTCGCCAACACAATTTTCCAGCAGTTCTTCCCGATCTTCCTGCAGAAGACTGGGTTGAAGTGTTTGTTCTTCTTTATGGCGATGAACGTCGTTCTCGCTGCCTATGTCTACTTCTTCATTCCCGAGACGCGCCAGATTCCTTTGGAGGAGATGGACGAGCTGTTTGGAGACAAGAATCACACTGTGAAAGGGGCTCAACTGCTGGGAATAGTGAACACACAGACCGAAACGATAGATATCGAGGGGAAGCAGGTTCGGTAGCTGTGGCGACTGCGCTCTACGCTGCGCGTCCACTGGGCAGAATGATGAAGGCTTAGCAGTTGAGCTCAACATAATGAGTGGACGATCCTACTATGGCTACCATGGCGCATAGTTTCGATAGGATGCCGCGCCAAATTTCGAGATGAGTCGCAATTACAGATACTACTCAGCATGCTCCTCAATGACCCTGAGCCATACATGTAATCCCGTTCGTGACTAGGAACTCGGAGCCGTGCCTGACATCTTTGCGTGCATCGCCATACCATTTCTTGGAGAGGCTCCCATTTTGAGCTCTTGGAAAGCAAGATCCCCGATCTTCGTATCCCAGTCAGTGTATGACACTCTTGGCTCCTTGCTGATACTTTCGGGTCTCACAACTGCCTCGAGATCAAACCACCTGACCGTCATTAAAAGGATGATTCGCATTTCGTCCATTGCCAGTTCTTGTCCCATGCAGGCACGAGGTCCTCTCTCAAAGGGACGCCATGCGAACCGATGGGGCTTGGGTCCGTCATATGAGCTCAGAAAGCGATCAGGCACAAAGGATGATGGCTCGACATAATTTTTAGGATCGAAGTGAGTGGCGTGTTGACAGAGAACGATCATCTGGCCGGCCGTCGGGAATGAACGCGATTTGAACTGCAGATTCGGCCTAAATGGTGCGTCAGCAAGCCCAAGAGTGCTCAAAGTCTCATCAAGCCCGCCACTTAACATACTCATTTGGGGGTGACTCGCGGATAGAGAATCCCACGGGGAAGATGCGCAACGTCTCCATGATCACGGCTGACGTGTACTCAAGCTCGTTTGTCTTGGCAGGATTGTCCTGCAATATCTTGCGTGTTGCTGTAAGACTGGGAGCAAATACTTGGTCATGTTCTTGGCGCAATCGTTGCAGAACTTCTGGGTGAAGACCAAGCATCATGTATACAAACTTGGATAACGGGAAGTTTAGCCGAAACAATCTCCCTGCATATCGCCTCTAGAGAGTTTCACGCAGCGTCTTACCGATAGAGTATCCGTCGTGGTTCCATGACCACCAATGAGTAGAGCCTTCAGGCTTAAGCACTTGGTTAGCTGGGGTCAATGTAAGGCAGCTAGTCTTGGGCAACGTACTTATTTACCGCAAGTTCCAAGAAGTCCTGGCCCAGGGGCTGCTCGACAGCGTCACCGTTGTTCTCAATTCGCTCCAGCAGAATCCGGTCAAGAATACTTCTGGCACTTTGCCTGGTTGGGATATTCTTCTCGTTCTTCATGACTCGATATCTCTCCACGAGTCGCTTTTGCAGAAAAATATCGGAGCGCTTGATCGCCTGCCGCCTTGACCACCATGCCTGGATCTTTGTTATAGGATTCCAGCTTTCTCTAATTAGTTGTGATAAGCTCAGTACTGCTCTGAGGTCGTCCAGAATGAGAGACCCAGATCGCTGGGCGTTGAACGAGACTCCGAACACGATGCCACCAATGACGTCGAAACTGAGTTTCGACAGCTCTTCTTCCATAGAGAACACGTCGCCCGCTTTGGCAAGCTCTCGCAATCTGCCATGAAATAGCATAACCTCGTCTGCGATGGTACTAAGAAGTGTCTTGACGTATCTAGGTGTGAATGCAGGTGCCATCATATGGTGTAATTTCTTCCATAGGGGCCCGTTAGTTGCCGCGATGACATTGTCTCCGATCATTGGAGCCAAGAAGCGGTTGACTTCTGGGTGCATCGGATATGATCGGATGGCGGTGACCTGTGCAGCGGCATCGGGTCCGGTAATCACGACCTGCTGGGGCCCAATCGGCCATAAATCGACATACCAGACATCGGGAAGTGAGTATTTGCGGGAGAGATAGGTGTAGAAGTATTGAGGATGGGTCCCTGCCGGAAACAATTTGACGATATCGCCGAATAACTTTAGATGACCAAACAGAATCGAGTGGCCAGGGGGTTTTGGCTACAATTTTTGGTAAGTCATTAGCATCTAGTGCATCAAGGCCAAGAGCAGCTCGAAGCAATGGATCATGCAGCACATACCAAGTTTGCGTAGAATCTGCGATGCTCAATGAGCTTGAAGGCTGCATACACGATCACGGCCAGGCTTGCCGATGACGCAATGTAGAGGTACGAGGCCATCGTCAATGCTGAGAGTTGCAGGTCGTGCGGCATCAATGGGTTGTAGGGCTGCAAGGCTGACTATGGTCAAGGCGGGTTCGCCGAGGCCATGTCTACCCGCACATGGATTTGAACTTGTATATAGCTGTAGCTGAGGCCGATTATTGAGTTGGAAATTGTTACGACTTCACAGTGGCTCAGCGGACGGCACCAATCTATTTAAATCATCGCAGCGGCAATCCCGGTCGCCCTTAGCGTAAGCTGACAGGCTGCCACCGAACCTGGGCTGGCTGTGTGGGAGGGCTTTTCGCCCTATAAGGCAGTAACTTCAGGCTAGCAAGTCCACCGATTAGGCGATCTAGAGACGAACCAGCGCATGGTAGTAAGCCCGACCTGCGTGGCGGGCAGATCATCAGCGATCCTCGAGGACGACTACCCCGCTGAATGCCCTGGCACCGTGAGGAGAAGTCGCTTGTCGTGGAAAGCAGTCGCCCTGTTGGCCACGTAGTCAAAGATCCTTGACGCTGGGGACCGGACGGCTGGAAGTGGGTGGTCGATATCAACATTCGCAATCGAGGCGCAAGCCAGCTGCCGAATGTGCCAAGATATTGCTCGCGGATTAGCGCCTGTTGGCGCCACACGTTCCGGGGGCCACCCAATACCAAGGCTCTGATTCCACACCACGAAATGGAGCCAGGCTCTTGCGAGGAGTCCAACAGCAGCCCCAGAGCATGCACGCTCTGCACTTACATGGAGAGTCTGGTCACCGACGCGTGTCCGAAAGAGAGCAGAGCCTCCTTGCGCGACATCCCCCGCGACATCCCCCGGGCTCACCAATGATGATGCAAAAGACAAGGGGCATGGTCGGCAAGCGCTGTTTGCGTTATGCACTGTCATGGGGTGAAGGCACCCGTGTAAGCACATAAAGCTGTCCCCGTACCATGCACAGTGTCTCCATCTTGCAGTGTCAATCTCGGGCTCAAGGGCAGCCGGAAATTGTGGGATGACGTTCAAGCGACGACGGCTACTACGCATATACCACAAAAGCGCATCTCAAACTCGTACCTTTATTACATGGTGGCAGTGTCGAACCCTGACTGTGCACATGTGCGGTCACAGCAGATGCCCCTCGCCAGGCACCGATGTGCACCTCGCTCACGGCCTAGATCTTCTGTTCAACATTGAGCGAGGCAAGAAAATTCCTTTGAACAAATTTGGTGAGACACGGCGCACCTGCTCAGGCCGACTGATGCAATTAAACGGTTGCTGAACCTCATTAGCATAATCTCGCAGCATCAACGCCGGGGCTCAACTTCAAGTCCCTCAGCGTGGGCCACAACGCACTGTTGCATGAGTATCGCGACAGACCATCGGCAAGACGTTGCGCATGTCACTGAGCCTTTCTCTTGCCTGAGTGAGGCAGGATGCACCGGACAGTAGCGGAAATACGGTCGCTCACAAGCAATTATCCTAATTCTTGCCCCAAGTATTCTGTAAAAGTGAGGTTCAGCCCAAGACGTAAAATGTACCATCTAACAACCTAGGCCCAGTTCGGCAAAGTCGGGTGGCTCAAGAGTCGAGCCTGGCCACTGCTGACGCGGGCGGCATTGTGAAACGGCAGGGTTGTGTGCCCGTACCGTTGGTCTGCACGCACTGGCGGCGTGCAACACGAATGGACATGAATGAATATGGTAGCCATTGGACTTGCCATGATACTGATACCTCGCTCGAGCCGCTTCACTTCCGTAACGCACGAAGGGCGGCTAGCGTCGTGCGCGCGCGTTGTCGGTCGGAACGCACGCGAGGCTCAGGGACCGCAAGTATTGGCCCGCTGTGGATGCTTGGTAGTGGTGGCAGTGGGAGCTCCCAGGTGATCGTGAGCGCCGGGGCCGCAATTCCCCACGAGGAGGTTGGAGCGGCTACCCACGCGTGGTCTTCCCGAAGGTTTGACATGAACGCGAGAGCCGCCACCGTTCTTGCATGTTGTTTGTATGCCTTGGGTCCGTCGGGCCTTGAATCCGACACTGCCTGCGACTGCCCCTCCATTGTGCGCAACACGCATAGCGAAAGCTGCCAGCAATTGAGCTGCCCGGCCGACGTTACCCGACTGTTGGGCGTGCCAACTCTGACGTAGAAACACCAGCGCAGGAAACACAGCGTGGCGACATGGAACATAGAAAGAACAAGTATGTCGTTGAGTTGGGAAAGCGTGCATTACTGCGTGCGCAAGGACATGCAGATGGACCCAAGCAAGCGCTTTCATTGTCCCGTCGCCCCGACATCCTCGGATGGACAATCAACACTGGACAATGTCACGGCAGATCGACGAACGTCCAGCGCCAACCCAGTTGCCGGCATAAATGATGAAATAGCGCGAGCAAGCAAGGAAAAGATCGCTCGACTAATAACAAGTCGTACTAGCACGTAGAGTCGCGGGATAAAGTCACGGTGGTGTGAAGGTCCCGGCAATTGGTGAGGGCATCACTGAACGTCTCCAGGAGACCCCATGCGGAGGGCTCGTCAAGAGACAGGGTGCCGTAACCCCGGCTAAATGTCAAAACAGATCTCGACTCGTGCCATGCATGCTCTCCGGGGCATTTACTCGTTCTGCCATTCGAGCCGCGCTCCCCTGGATTTCCCAAACGGGCGAGAGCGGGACACACCACGGCGGTACCCTGTCCAGCATGGCCTGATGCTCAGAGTCAAAGCCCGGGTGCGTGACGTTAAGGATGTTGCCATCGCCTGAGACACAGGCGACCAGGAGAACACGTGCACGGCTTCGATCCCGTCTTTCCGATCCGTCAAGCATCTGCCCAGCCTCCGGTGTAGAGTACACAGGCCGACTTCTGATCGTACCCCGGATTGACCTTTCGTACTCTCCCAGATGCCCCAGCTGCCAACATCGTGACGGTGCGGGCGGGGTTCTTGCTACTGAGGACGAGTCGGGCAACGAGAACAACTGGGGCGTTGTCCTTGCTACACTTCTCGCCGCTCCCACATTGAGTGATCGTGGCTGAGACTGCCACCACGATGCAACCACGACTCAACGTATATAAGCCGTCCCGGAACCACATTCTCAGCGAAGAGTGCAAAACGGCAGTATCACAATATTCGACGCCTGAACATCATCTACACGAACTTGCATCACATCCCCCTTGCCCTCGTCGCCGGGAAGTCAGTCTGACAAGTGAGAACAGTTGCCACCATGGTCAACCTGGGGACATCCAATGCCGCCGCACCAGCCGCCGCGCCCAAATTCGAGCATGTAACGTGGTACAAAGAGCCGCATTTGCGGCGGCTTTACTTCCTCAGTTTCTTCCTGCTCATCGGGTCTGCGACCACGGGCTTTGACGGCATGCTCCAGAACACCTCGCAGCAGATGGACTATTGGAAGTCCTATTTTCCCGAGTATAACGACCCGAACAAACTGGGAATCCTAATCAACATGTACAATATTGGCTCTATCATTGCGTATTTCATCTCGCCGTATATAGTCGACACTTCAGGCCGGAGGCCAGCCATTATGGCAGGCTGCTTTTTCATGATCGCCGGGGCGTGCCTAACGGCATCTGCTCAGAATTTCGGGAGTAAGTTCATGCCCTCTCGCAGGTTCATTAATGGCTTCTATATTTACACCAAGGTAGTGTTCATTGGAGGACGCTTTGTCCTTGGTTTCGGCAACGCGCTATCACAAATTTCCTCTCCGATGCTTCTGACCGAGATCTGCCACCCGCAGCACCGTGGACCTTTAACGACAGTCTATAACTGCCTTTTCAGCGTTGGAGCCCTATGTAAAAAGCACACTCGCCTACAACTTGGTTATTTACAGACTGCTAACGGCACGCAGTTGTCTCGCTGGTCGGCTGGGGTGTCGCATCTATACCTAGCAACTGGTCTTGGCGCTCCATTACCTTCATGCAATGCCTTCCATCCGTCATTCAAATCACAGGCATCTGGTGGGTACCAGAGTCTCCGCGTTTGCTCGTTCATAGGGATCGTTCCGAGGAGGCCCTCGCCATGCTGGTGAAGCATCATGGCGGCGGTGACCCAAATAATGCCACTGTCCTATTCGAGTATCGAGAGATGAAGCAAGCCATCGAAGAAGCCCGCACTAGCAAGGGTTCCGCTAGCTACTTCGACTTCCTAAAGACGAAGGGAAATAGATGGAGGCTGGCAATAGTCATCTCATCCGGCGTCATATCGCAATACTCAGGGAATGCCCTTTTTTCTAATTATATTGACGTAATCTATGATGGCGCTGGAATCACAGAGCAGAACAAGAAGCTAGCGGTAAGTTGCTCGACCTGTTTTGGCTGCGCCATAACTGACCGATCTTGAACTTAGCTATCAGCGGGCAAGACCATAATGGATACGATCATTTCCATCACAGCAGCACTTTACGTCGATAGAATTGGCCGGCGACCTCTATTTCTTACTGGCATTTTTGGTATGGTCGTTGCCTTTGCTTGCTGGACCGTGTGTGGCGCAATATACGAGGAGTCTGGTGTCGAAGGCTCCGACGGTACAATGACCTATAACAACACTGCGTCAGGGTACGCCCAGGTGGCTTTTATCTGGCTATTTGGAGCGTTTTACGATATCGGGTTCGGAGGCCTTCTCGTTTCGTATTCGCTTGAGATTGTACCATTCCACCTCCGCGCGAAAGGTACGTATATCTGAGGCAAGCGGTGTTGGTCTGGAACGTGATGTAATAACCATCCACAGGTCTCGTCATTCTCAATCTTACGATACAGATTGTTCTTGCCATTGGGAAGTAAGCACACGCTTTATGTCATACATCTGCTGCTGCATGTACATGTGCTGACCTCGCCAGCCAAACGAATAAGGTTGCTTGGGAGAATCTTCCCCATCACTGGAATTTTATGCTATTCTACACCATTTGGGACTTTTGCGAGCTCATCTTCGTTTATTTCTTCTACATCGAGACAAAGGGGCCTACTCTTGAGGAAATTGCGCGTATTTTCGATGGCGACAGCGCACCGGCCCCAGTCACCCAAGAAGAAACGGAGAAGGAGGCAGCTCTGCATGTGGACGTCGCGCCCGAGAAAATGATTTGAAGGTAGAACACATTATATTTTGAACAGTGATTACGGTATGCGCACTCGGAAACGTGAAACGGCGTTGGGAGGAGCCTTTGTGTTGAATGGGCAGTTCGTGATTCTCGAGCAAAACGCGAAACACTTAGTGCAAGGGACAGCAACTCTCGTCACACACCATCCCTGGAACTCGAGGATTGGAGAAAGCAATACGTCAGCTCGCGACGTTATTTAGCCATGAAAGAGCCAGACTGTGATTTGATGATTGACAGTTCGTGGGTCCGGATTATGTCCAGAAATGCAGGTTGCTTGTTCCATATTGCGGTCATGTCCAGGTCGTATTCCACTCATTTGTCTCGCGATGGCATAATGCCTGAAGTCTTATCTTGTCACTCGGCTAGCACATTGGGCATGGATGTTGTAAGTTATTGTACTTGTGTCAAGCCAGCCGTACCTGCCTTGTTCACAGCCTGGCATGGCCAAGAGCGTTGACAACTTCCTCGGCGCCCCTCGCCCCAGACCGGACTGCCCCATCCATATAGCCCTTCCACTCATACGCTGTCTCGGTGCCCACGAAGTGCAACTTGCCATGCGTCGATCTGAGGGCGCTTTCAAGGCGAACCATAGCCCCAGGCGGTGCGGCCGGGCAAGGGCATCCTTGCGCCCACTGATCGAATTGCCACTCATGCTCCTCAATACCCACAGGCTGTGGCGCTTTGCCAGCGGATCCCAGTGTCTTCTCTATGTGTTCCACGACGGCATCAAATCGCTTCTTCTGCGAGAGCTTCGATAGTTGGCGGCCCCAGTCGCCAACACAGAAGCATGTCAGTGAGAACTGGCCAAGCACATCAACGCTCGAGTCTCGTGTGACGGTCACTGGGCCTGCAAAAGATTGCAACATGCCGCAAAGCCCGTAGCCGCGCCACCAAGGGGTCGAATAACGGACCAAGACTTTGTTGGTGTAGCCGAGCCGATTGAGCTGACTTAGTTCGAGCTTATCGGCGGGTAGTTGGGGAGTGAAAGTGATTTCTTTGTACAGGGGCGTTGGGACTGATACAATGACGCGCTTGCAAATATACTGCCGTCTGCTGGAGGAGACATATACTGCCGACTGCGTCTGCTCGATGGCTCGGACGGGTGAGCTCAGTGTAATTGTTCCTCGTTTGAGCAGACTTGCAAGACCACTGGAGATGCTTTGAGTCCCTATACGGATCAAGTTAGGTACGAAGTGTCACGATCGGGGACGGGGCAATACAGACCCTTCACCAGACGGAGATATTGACCTCCATCCTTTTGATCCGACCGCATTCGGACCAGGCCACCACCACTTTTGCAGTAATTGAGGAAGAACAGAGCGCTCATTTCCCGTGGCTCCATACCAAGCATAGCTCTTGTCCAGATTCTGGCCGATGCCATGGCTGATTCGCTCGATCCTGTAACAGACCTGACCCAGTCCTCGAAAGTCATGCTGTCGAGGTGGCTACCAGCATGTGCCGGAGAGCGAATGTCAAGGGCCTGGCAAGTCTCCTCGGCCTTGTTGCGCAAGATGATCATGTTCTCGACCCCATTTGCTTCAACTAGTTTCTGCTTCGAAGTCAGAAACATGCCGCTACGTTCTCGGATGTGCGCTGATATGTGTGAGTTTCTTTACCTCAGGCAAGCTTCCATACTTGAACTGTGATAGGCTGCCGTCGCTATCCTCCTGAATCACATTTCCTGTGGTGTTTTGCACCACTGTCTCCAGCCCGAGAGCTTGGACAAGTCGAAAAATTTCTGACTGATTTGTGTCGTTAATCCACGCGGCGCCTACGTCGACGAACTTGCCGGCATCCGTGCGGTCGGTCGACCAGGTCTTGCCCCCTATCCTGTCCCGAGCCTCAACCACTGCACACGAGTACCCCGCCTGCTGCACATCGTACGCAGCCTTGAGGCCGCTCAGGCCAGCTCCAATGACGACAACATCCACCTCTTGCAATGGCTGTTGGGGCAATGAGACGTAGGCTTCAACTTCAAACTTGTATTCGGGCTTGGCCAGCTTCGGCACAGGGGCCAAGGTCGTGGCGGGCCGGTGTCCGTTGAGAAAGTCAATGAGGGGTCTTGCGTGGTGTCTCCTGGTGTGATCGTAGTCGACTATGTAATAGACCAGCTTAACAATGTCAGTGACTGATGCGCCAACCGACTCAAGGCATTTCCTGAGGTTTGTGAAGGCCAGGCGAATCTGTTCCTCGATGTCTTGTGGGACTACGCCTCTCTCGTCGGCGCCGACCTGACCAGCGGTCATGATCACTCGGCCACCTGCGGCCGAGCAGGCCACATGAGAGAAAGTTGGCCGGCTGTCAAAGAGGCCATGCGGGTCAACTGCAATGACGTTTGACTTTGGACGAGATGGAGGAGACATTCTGTTGGTTTGAGTGCGGAGGAATGGAAGACAAGCCCGCAAGTGTGCAACCCAGGTGGCACACCAAATTGTGACGAGGCTGCCATTACACTTTTCTAACTCGGCCAATCTGCGTTTTTAAATAGCCTGCTTTGATACGAAGAACGTCGCATCGCAACTGAGAGTGCGGTCAAGTCTCCGTCCACAGCGCAACTGGTCGTTGGCCCCGGCGTTTGTTGGCCTCGAGTTCCGAGTTGCGACGCGCTCAGCTCCAAGCTCCGCTGGACCGAACATGCTGAACCAGCCTGGCCTAACTCCATTGGTCGCAGTGTCCTCGAAAAGTGGATTTTGACCCCTCCCCTCAGTCCTGTGAACAGCGGGAGTGTGAGAGCCAAGTCGGGGTACTTCAAAGTCGATGTAAATGTACCGAGCGCCGACAATTGTCAATTGTCAGCGTTGACCCTCATCAATTCCGCCGAGCCAAGATGCCTCATGGGCCCGCCCGGAGGCAGCAGATGCACTCGTGTGATGCATGCAGGCGCCGAAAGGTGCGATGCGACCGTGCCGACGTCGCGGAGTCCGCGCCATGTACCGCTTGTTCCAGAGCCAATGCCACTTGCGAGTATGTACAATCCATTCTTATGAACCATCGATGTGTCTCGCGTCCTTGACCTTTACATTGAGAACATTGTATTCTGACTATGCACGCCCGCTGCAGGTTTACGATCGGCTGGCGTCGAAAGAGAAAGGCCAAGTTTCGCCCTGCACCCTCTCCCACGGCCGCATCGCAAGGCGGCAGCAGTGCCGCCAGCGGTCGCTCACTGGTGACGCCCCTGGAATCGGCAGGAACACCACCGAGCGAGCGTTCACCACGAGACGCGACAGAGATTACAAGCAACGATACTCCGAACTCCGAGGAGGCAGTCGCGCTTGGACTGGCAAAGAACGGCCTCTTCCGGTTCTTCAAGGATGGCATCTCGTCTTCCACCTGGAACGTCTTTGACAGCTGGGATCGAATGAGAGTGGTTTATGTCGGCACACATGTGTCCAACATGACTCACCTCATCCACCTTGACCAGCCGAACTCCGCGTGCCTTGTCTTCCCATTCCCGCAGATTCACCCTCCACTGATGTTGAAGCCCGATGTCGCGCAGAGCGGTACTGCCGCAGACATCGTCCAGGATGTGACTTCTCTCCCTGCCAAGGACGTGCGAGACAGCCTCGTCGATTCCTACTTTGCTGACATCAACCCACTTTTTCCCGTCGTTGACGAGGCCGCTTTCCGAGCTCGATACGATGGTGCGGACGGGCAACCGCCGCTGATGCTCCTGCATGCAGTGCTGCTGGTTGGGGCACATGTATCAACACATCCTCACGTAGTGCCAGTGCGCTATATGCTCAAGGCGACTCTCTTTCGCCGCGCCAAACAGCTTTTTGATATGCGCCACGAGAGCGACCGGGTGCATCTGGTTCAAACTGCTTTGTTGTTTTCCTGGCATCTGCAAAATGGCGACACAGCAAGCTCAGGTGGCTATTTCTGGGCCGGCGTGGCCTGTCGCATTGCTTTTGGCATTGGCATGCACAGGAACCTTTCGGTCACCACCATGAGCCCAAATCAGAACAACATGCCCATCGAGGACCGGCGTCATTGGAGGCGCGTGTGGTGGACTTTATTCCAGGTGGATGCACTCTCGGCGCTGGAACACGGGCGGCCACCTATGATTCGGATTGAGGACTTTGACCAGGCGCCCTTGGCGGCTGATGACTTCATTGAGTCCAATGGCGTTCTGAACAGAAAGCTCAATCTCGACTACTGCGCCCGGAATATTGACCTTTGTTACATAGTTCTGGATATCGTCGGTCTCAGTGCGCCGCGCGTCTCCCAGCAAGCCAACCTTGTCGCACAGGCCTCATCACTGAATGCAAGACTGGTCTCCTGGATGCTGGATTTTCCACCATCAGCCAACACCGATACCTTTGCGGACCTGAATTTACGGCTACACTACCACACAGCAGTGCTCCATCTCTACAGACTCATGTCGGATGACGGTCCCTGTCCAGAACGCATCAGGCACGACTATCTAAGCATCGTGAGCGGCTCAACAACTGCAATCATCTCAACCTTTGAGACGGTTCGGGCGAAGAACATGGTTGGCCACTGCCACTTTACTGCTCTTGTAGCATTGACAGCGGCAGCTATACACACATCGAAAGAGATCCAGCGCCAGCTAGGGGACGCCTGTGTACTGGCTGCTCTCAACGATATGCATCTGTTGAACAGGGCATGCCTTGCTGCTGAACACTTGTCCGAATACTGGCCGAATGCAGAAGGGATCAGGAAGGTCTTTCGTAGCCTGCTGGACAGGTTCACGACCATCATCCACAACATTCAACAGCAGAATGACGCAAACCTCATTGAAACGTCCATAGCAAGCGAAGTACCGGAGTTTAGTCTACCTGCTATTCTAGATTCCTTCTGCCAACTGCCTGCGTGGCAAGACGACGACCCTCATTGGAACGCAGTTCCGTTTCAGTCATGATCAAGCTGACAACACAGCTAGCTAGATATGGTTCAATGACAGAGTTGCCATTGTGTCCCTTCTGAATGTCCGGCCTCCTATCCTTGCGATGTAGAACCGTTGTATATCTTGTCAACTTCAGCGGCAACTGCTATCAATTCCTCGTCCTTGTAGGGCGGCTTCACAATCTGCACGCACACCGGCTGGTTGCTCCAGAGCTGGGGGTCGTCTGTGAAGAAACCTGAGCAAAGGAAGCTAAAACACAGAGAACACACAGTG